ATTTTAATTTTTACGTCGATTGAAAAATCTTCAAACAAGAATATACTAGAATAATTTAATATTCTAAGTAAATGGGAGTTGACTTTCTGGATAGCTTATACCGTATGATCGAAAAAAAATCGCGTCCAGTTGGCTGGGAAATGACGATCGATGACATTTCCCATATAAATTTACATATAAAATGACAGCGATCTTCATTTCATAGCCATCGTTGACGCCGTTTTTCTCTCGATCATACTGTGATTTCTCTGGTGCATAATTAAAATAGAATTTTCTTATGCTTTTCTAAAGTACTTAATATTAAAATAAAAGTTTACTTTAAAACTGTATTAATTAAAATTTATTTCTTATACGAGGATGGATTGTCAAAATATAAAGGGCGTATTCCGTTGCTTACCTTGGTTATGGTTTTCCGTTTCTATCGGTTTCCTGAAAGTTTTCTTATTACGGAACACGGTTCCTGAAAAATTCACCAAACTAACCAGCGCGAGAAGGCTGTTTTTTCGGGTTTTGTTTGTCAATCAATGTCATTTATGTGACAGAAATCAAGCAAATATTGGAAGTTCGAGTCAAATTCTCATTTAGTTTCTAAAATTTGTAATAATATCTTGTATTTACATCCAAAAGCAATGGAGGTAGGCAGTAAAGGTAACTAAATTTCATTAACTAAATAGAATTACTTTTTAGGACCATTTAAACTTATCATGCAGCCATTGTTTCTTAAAGTCAGGAATATTTAAAGAAAACCTGAAAAACACGACAACAAGTAATCGTGAATGTTTAGTAAGCTATACAAGTATAAATATTGATTAGATTCGTTTATTTACTATTGATCTGTTTTAATATCGAACCTGCAAATCTTCACTTGAGCTGTCTAACGAGTTTAACAGTTTATTAATAAAGTACTTTTCAATATATTAAACTCCATTGAAAAGAAGAAGCAAACGTAAAAAGAGAATAGGTACATTAAAAATGCATAAAAGAAAATTTTAAAGTAGAGGTAGGTATTGAAATTTAGAAAACGTCAACGTTTTTTGACGTTTCCAGTATTTTACCAAACCGTTCCGTATCAAACCGATGTTTTTCAGGAACCGCTCTTTACCGTAGTTTGCCGGTTTGGTTCGCCTGGTTTTGCAACGGAATGTAGCCTAATCTCAAAATTCGTATATTTTACATTTGACAAATCAAAAATGTCAATTGTATTCATATTTTTTAAGGCTACGCATCGTAAACTTCGTCAGATACTAAGTTTTTCAAAATCGCTTTCTAATTTTGTTAATTAAAATAAATTTTCTTTCTTTGTTTACAAGGCCAAGTAGTTTGAAAGTATAAAAAAGTTACATAAACTCCGTTAGAGATAAAAATTTATTAACTTTAAAATGATTTATGTCAGTTGGGTCGATGTAGAAAACAAACTTTGAAAACAAACTCAAATGCAAAAACGATATTTCTTCCAGCAACTTTGTATTTTTAATTTTACTGCTTCAAGTTGAAAGTTTTGGAGAATTTACTATAATTACTGCTTGGATCAAGTGCTTAATTACCTTAATACCTACTTTTCCCGATACGCTTTTTATTTCTAACTTTGTTAGTAAAGTTATTTCTCATCAATTTTCACTTCAGGAAATTGCATGAAGCTATTTAAGACAAAAGGAAAGAAAAAATTACTTTTTTCTACAAACGTCAAAAAATGCCAAGGTTTGGGAATTGATAGCAATATGCGAAGTGACACTTTTTTTCATTTTCCTACGTTACCATGACACGGTGGGCGAAGTAATGCGCGAAATGCCTATTTTGCACACTGCATGTAAATTATATGGGATTTTGGAATTTTGATTTTTGGAAAATGAAGAACTAAATCATAACTAATTATTTTATTTCGAAATATTCAAGAATAAACAAATACAAAATATCAAACTTAACACTAATGCATATTCTAGTTATTATTTACAATATTAACATCAATAGTACAACCAGTACACGAACAAATATTTAATCCCAAACTAGATAGTTCTGATTTTGCTTTAGATATAGGGGTTTTGGGACTTGAGAGACACTATCCAATTTTGATGTAGAGATATTTGATCCCTGTATTTGACACTCTCAAATTTTATTTGATATTTGAATTTTATTGTTGATAGAATCCTCGACATACAATAATATAATAATAATAATTTTTAGGGATATCCCAATTTTAATGTTTGTAGAAAAAATATTGTTTGCAACTCGTGCGCGAACTATTTTGGTGATTTCGACTAATTTTTCAACTCGGCTACGCCTCGTTAAAAAAATTCGAGTATTAATCACCAATGTAGCACATCGCGCACTAGATACAAAAATAACTATTAAAATAATAAAAATTACAATTTATAATTCAAAATAACATATGACAATTTCTATATTTAGGCTTTATCGCTCTGTCAGTTAAAGTCCATAAAAAATTGAATCACATAGAGTTAGTAAGAGTAAAAAGAGTAAAATATGATAATACGACTTAATCCATTTATTTGTTATTGAATTTATCAATAAAAAAAAAAAATTAAAGACTAAAAAAATTATAATAAGGTGATTATAAAACTCAAGGTATAAAGAACTTTACTATATATTTTTAAACAATATATGCCTCTGTGTATATACATTTTTGTTTTGAGTTGACTCACCTAACCTAAACACCACATTCAAAATATTCAGTTTTAAGACACTCTGTATGTATAAATAATTATTGATTTTTAAAATGTTATTCTTAAACTAGGGAGAGGTAAATCAGGCAATGAACGTAGATGATAGGTGTTAGGTAATAACTTTTAGACTACCGTTCGAGACGCATTGATTTTATTTTGATTTGTAGGTTTTGGTTATTGTGACAAATAATGGTATTAAAGGTAAAGTAAATGTTTCCTCATTATTTAATTAGTATTCACTAAAGCATATATTTTGTTTTTCTGTTGTAATATTTTGTGCTTTTCCTTACTTATTTAAATCTGACAAAGGTATTAAATAGCATGTGTATGTGGTTAATAAATTTGATTTATTAAGTGAATAATTTCTAATTTAAAATTATATCTAAATACTATCGTTTACTGTCCATTCGTGCCGATGTTCTTGGTTCAGTATGACTTCAGCGCAGCATGACAATAAGGGCCTTGTTGAGTGTACTAGTATTTTCTAACCGTGACTGGGCGAATATATTAACCAACAAGTGAGCAGTCAAAACCAAAAAATGGTTAACTTATATTCTAAAGATATTGGCAGCAAACATATCAACTATAGCTGAGTAACTGCAAGTGGGGACCTGCTAACAAAACCTTTTTAGTTATGAATGGTTTAAGTGTGTTAAACTTGATATCTTGGTATGAGGACAGCATTTGTATTGTCGTGACCTAGCTGGGGGGTTGTTCGCTAGGGTGGCTATACCAGGTTCTCTCTTTTAATCAAACAACCATTAGAAAAAATATGTATTTATTAAACAAAGGTTTATAGTGTGGATAAAATTATTGGGACGATTTCAGGAAATGCCAATACTTTAGGGTATACTCGAAGAAGTATTTACAGGAACATCTTCAACGTCTTCACTGTCTTCTACTGGTTCACTCGCAGCCAACCGCCTGACTAACCTCGACTAACTGACTAGCCAACTAACTGACTAATAATGAGACTAACATCGACGGACTAACCCCCGACTCTCTTCAACATACATTTTTATATTTTCTATACCTCGTGGTCATCACCGGTTACGTCGTTCAATCTGTTTTCATCTAATTACATTTACCCGGCTATGACCATGAGGAAATCGAACTTCGGTAACCTGAGTTTGATTATCGACCCGAGATTGTTGTATTTTAATTGGTTTAATTTTTAATGTTATTTAAAAACATATCTGGGTCAATGTCATGCAGGTAATTAAGCGCATCCGAGATAAGTCCCAATAAAGAATATTTGGACAAAATCTTACCTCTTCAACTTATATTACAGTTTGTATGCCGGGTGCGGTCTCAAAAGTGGCTCACCCCTATAACTTTTTTATTTTTTCGGTTAAAAAACGAGATTCGGTTGATAGTATATGACATAAATTAGCATTGATTGACGTATTCAATTGTTTTCGGTCACTTCCTCTGTTTCACCGGAAATGCCTACAACTTTTGATTTTTAAACGGCACGCTAGGTATTTTTGTACTTTATTCGATAGAAAATAACACTCTGAATAGAATGACATATCATATGTCGACTTTTGACATTTTCACATATGGTTTATTTGAAATTATAAACTTGCGGTTCGTATCAAAAATTTGACTGGAAATACCTAGTGTGTGATATCAAATTATTATTAAAAAAATGCTGTTTCCAAATATGCTAATGAGCCACCCTCGTTCCATTTAAAAAAAGATCAGATATGATTAAAAACACGATTTTGGCATTTTTTAACCGACCAGGACAAGACACTAAAAATATATGAGACGATTAGATCTATTATTCCAAGTCTCCTTGGTTAAGAATTACTGTAACACATCCATGGCACTGTAGATAGAAATTTAAACTACGATTTTTTTTTATTAAGCGAGAATGTCAAAAGTTGACATATGATATGTCATTAAATTCAGAATATCATTTTCTATCGAACAAAGTAAAAAAATACCGAGGGTGCAATTTAATAATCAAAAGTTGTAGTAATTTCCGGTGAAACAAGAAGTGGCCAAAAACAATCGAATACGTCAATCAATCCCAATTTATGTCATATACTGAGATACCAAATCTAGTTTTTTATCTAAAAAATAAAAAAGTTATAGGGGTGAGCTACTTTCGAGACACACCCGGTATTATGAGTATGATATTTCGTAATTGTTCGTATGTCATAGTCATAAAAACTATTAATATTTTAACCCTAACCAACGTTCATTCTGCAACACCTGTTTTTAGAAGTATATTATGAGGCAATAACGTGGTAAACTTATACCAACATGTGTTTAAAAAACCCTTTATAACATTTTTTTCTGTTGTTTCAGCCTTTACTACATCAGTAACATCATGAACGGCTCGTCAGTTTAGCCGGCCAGTTCATTCAGCCCACGTCTAAATAAGTCAACATGCACCTACTGTTCTGGCATTTGTATTCCATCACGCTGTTATATGTTGTCAGCGAAGTCTCCGCCTGCCCGCCGTTTTGCATTTGCAAATGGAAAAGCGGCAAACGAAGCGCCGAATGCGCTGACAAGGGCCTGACAGACATACCGGACGACGTCGATCCGGAAACCCAAGTTCTCGATGTCTCCGGTAATCGTCTCGGAAAACTGACCAAGGAATTGTTCCAGAAAAAATACTTACTCAACCTACAGAGACTGTATTTGTCTAAGTGCCAGATTAAAGCCATACACAAAGATACGTTTAAGGGCTTGACGAATTTAGTTGAAATGGACCTGTCTGGAAATTACTTGGACAACGTACCCACGATGGCCCTTATGAATTGCCTGTCTTTAATGAAACTGACGCTGAGCTCCAATCCGATCGTCGCAGTGAAGAAGTTGGCTTTCAATCATTTGTCGTCTCTAAGCACGTTGGAGCTTAATGGTTGCGAGATCGGCGATATTGAGGAGAGTGCTTTTCAAGGTAAGTGCGAAGTAAAACTTGTTTTATACATGGTCTCACAAAAATAAATGCATATTTTTTAAGGGGTGGTAGATTTGGTTAAATGAAACACATTTTCTCTTTACCATTTTTAAAATCAATTGAGAATAACCGAGTTTTTTAACTTTTAACTACCCGGATCACACAATGTTCGCCGCTCACTGTTGCCACAGCGACTAGGAAGACTTAAAACCTACTTGCAAATTTTTCTACACCAACCAAGAGGTATTGCAAGAGTGCGTTATTTTTTTAAGTGGGTGATTCCCAGTAGTCCCACTTCCCACATTCCACAAAATAAATTTAAAAGATTCATCATCATTATTTTCGGTTTTTATTGTTAACCCAGATTAACAATAAAAAACAAACGACCAATCACGGCGCGTCTCGATCAATTTCAGGAAACGTGGTAACTAAATTTTTATAACACAGGCTTATATTTATCGTACTATTTTGTGAAATAGCACGAGGAAATCAAGTTCAAACGTTGTGGTGGCTTCAGAAAAAAAAGTAAACTTGGAAAGACTGATATGAAAACAGTTACCGATGGTAAATTAAATTGGCTATTCCTCGAAGGTTACACAAGAATATTTAGTTTTAATCATTGTATAATATTATTAATTACAGTATAGCAAAAAATATAAAACAGTGACTAACTAGCGGTCTACCGTTTATCGGCTTATAATCCACGGTATTGCGCCTCATGAACAAAATATACACAAAATTATTTAAAAAATCGTCTAATTATTTATTATTTCTGGTTATGGTAAAATAGCATTTATACTGTAGTCTGTAGCAAAGTTTAATTTACGAATTTGGTTTTTTATTAATTGTCTAAATCCCTTCATATTAAATACTAGTTGAATTGATTTATATCAAACCATGCTGGGTGGTAATAAAAGTATCGTTTACAGAGATTTCTCTTAAGAACAATAAAAGAACATTGTTTTTAAATAACCCAATGTAAACAAAAGTACATTGGGTCAATTAATAATTTTCCTAAGCGGATATAATGTTACCAGTATTACTCATCAAGCAATACTACTGTTATATTAATCAATTAAGGCCGTAAACAAACATATCATATACAATTTTATATACTAATTCATTATAATAAAATTAAATCATAAAAATATTATAATTATATTCCTGCAGTTTAACTAAAAAGTTTTGTTCCTAAATATCTGCTATACATACAATAACCGCGTGTTCAGATATTAATTATGCGGAATATGTATCAATATAACATAAAACGAGATGTAATTATGTAAAAATAGCTATTTTAGAAACGTCTAGGCTTACATATTTCACTGCGATTTACCAAAAAAAAATCCTTTGCCTCGGACACAGATACCGCCACGTTTTGGAAATAGCTCAAAACAAAACAAAATTGAACGAGTCAACAAAAAACGCTAAAAAATAATCTACGCCCTCCTCACCAGTAGTTTTCAGGCGCTTTTAAGATTGAAAAGTAGGTCGAGGCCAGAGATATGGAAGTGGGAGAATGAGCTTCGACGAGTGCGCATCCAAATTTTTGTCGACGGCAAGATGGTAGACATCTTCCAGGTCTCGCTGTCACTTCCCCTCTTTAATTGACATCTGTTTGTTTTTTTTTTTTTTTTTCGTTTGTGTTGTTATCCTAGCTAGGTATATTCTTTGTTGTTATCTAGTTAAAATTTATTATTATCTCAATTATTCTAAACACTAATTCAAAAAGGCTTGTTTTATATTGTCATAGTCATTCTAAGAAAGCTAATACGCCGGGAAAAATGATTAGTTTTCATGTGTAAGTTTATACAACATAATCGTGTTTACAGATGATCCAAAACTGTTTATTTTTAGTTTTCCTAAAGGCGATTTGTAAAAATCGTGATTGTAATGGGAATGGTCAAAAATTAGTGTATGATGTGGCCATTTAAAGAGGATGTTTTTATTACGTGTGGAGGAAGAAGATACTTGGAATCAATCTTCGTGCTGCTGTAAAACAGTGCACTCTTATAGTGTCCATGAAAGCACAAGTTCAAGTGTACCAGAAATATGTCAAATAAGATTGGTCCTTACTTGACAAGAAGATTATTTGGAGGAAAAGAAAACATAAGATAGGGTATTTTAATCGAACAGCGAAGATTTAACATTTTTATTGTAAAGTTTGTTGTAGGTAGTTGTAGTTTTGTCCTAAATATTTCTAACATTAGCAGCAACAGTGTTCAGAGTGTCAAGAGGAGGAGAATTCAGTTAATTAGATTTATGCACAGTTACAGGTATGAAGGCTTTTTCAAACATAGGATCGAGTTCTATAGTCAACATTTTTAGTATTCCTACAACTGTAAAAACAAGGAACATTGGATTGAAAAAATGGCAAGATTTATATAGGAAGAAAGGGTATTATGCCAATAAGAAAATTAAATATGTAGGCAGAAGTTTCTTATTATATTAATTTGTATCTGTACCACAAATCACTGAGAAAAATCATATAATATTCATAATTGTTAACGAGATGATATTTAAAAAGTGTTAAAAATGAGACTATTAGTCATGAAGCTTACAATGTTACTTTGTTTCAATATTACACTTTTATTCTTGTAAAATCTATGATGAAGTTCAAAAGCATTTTGCAATGGCCTTAAATTGTGAGCCAGGATTTATAGCAAAGGTATTTGATGCAATGAAACTTAATCAGTACCTTCCAGTATGTATTTTAGTAAGGGGATTGTCAATCCCATGTTTTTAAATAGATAAAATACAGGCCAAAGTTGACAATATTACAGTTGAGAAGAAACTATTTTATCTTAAAAAAATTTTCTTAAAATTCTGAGATCAATTCAAAAAATCAAAATCTAATTTTCTTAATAATAAATTAGGTATATGTATGTTGTACATACAGAATTTTGTTATGGACAAATAAGGATCGATAAGCTTCTTTTGTGCAAAAAATAAATGATTTTTTTTAGTATTAAGACAAACCATAATGTGTTTTACAAACTTACCGGTAACAGTTTTTTTTTATAATAAAATATTTAGGAATTATTTGGGTTATTTATCAATATATTAATGACTTGAATTTTGACAAATTGAATTTGTATCAAAATAATTTTACGAAATATAAAATGGATGTTCTATTACAAGATTGAGTTTTTATTGTCGACAAAAACCAGGATAAATACTAATAATAATACCCTTAATAAAATCAATGATGTTTACGTTTTATGAAAATATTTGTTAGAGGACATGTTATGTAACAGTTTTTGTAACACAATTTGAAGGGACGAATAAAAAAAATAAAACAAAAACATATCTTTTCTAGATTTATATTAAAAATACAAGGTAGGTAATCATCAGAAATAATTATGAACCAAATGTTTTTTATGAATATACAACTTGAACAAAAAGTTGTTTAGAACAATTTTTACCAAATTTGCAAAAATTTTAAATTGAAACGCGTAAGTAATTCAGTACAAGTAAACATGAAATATTGTAAATACTTATTTAATATTATTTCGAGTGTTTAACGACGAAAAGGTCATCTGTCCGTAGCGTCTTTTGTCAGAATATTCGTATATTTAGTGTATTATATATCAATATTGTACGCAGTTTTGAAACTGATAATTAAATAAATCATATTAATGTTAACTAACCATAATAAATGATAGAATTTCACTAAATTTAAATTGCCCCCCGTATGGTTGAAAACAGCAAATTGATATTTGATTACTTATAGATTACCACCTATATACAAAATGACACGAAGACCTGGAATATGGCGCCCAACTTGATTAGACCTTCTGCGCATGTTGACGCTCATTCTCTATCCCTTCTATTTCTCTGGTCGAGGCAAACCGACGCACACTGGTTCGCTCTTATGGACGTACGTGGCCAAAACATGTATTTTATTATATCAGTGAAAAATGAATGTATCAGTTAATATTTTTTAGTAAATCTATAAATATTTAGGCGTTTGGAGTTGCCTAACATATAAAAAAAGTTCTTTATCATTAGGCGTTTTCAATGATGATGGTTCATTAGAATTTAAAGTGTTATTTATTTACCAATAATACAAGGGTATTACTTTATAAAGGTATTTAACAAAAATTGAAAAAAAAAACAGATTGAAGAATGGTTAGAACATAACCGGTATATAGTTCATAAGCTAATAAATAGATAGATACAGAGTGGCCTATTAGTGTGAGAAAGTCCAATATCATCGTTGTAGACGAAAATATGAAAAAAAGTATTATATAGATATTTGCATGGTTTATAACAGTGCATATCCTAAAAATATTTTGTTATATACAGGGTATCAAAAAAAGTAATGATAAAGCGTTGTCTTTTTTAAATCACAGCTCCCATTTTTCTGTACATAATTCGATTCAGCATAAAATTGTGCATATAGGACACTATTTTTATTTGGAAAACTATGCGGTGTTGCCATGCTATTTCTTCTTTATTAAAATTTTGGTTAATAATAGTAGGTACCTACATATATCCGAAAATTGGTTAAAACCTGAAGTTAATTTATATTTGTTAATATCTAGTACTATACTATGTTAATACCCTGAACTTTACCAATATTTTCTTAACACCAAAGAAACGAGAATAAATTTGTGAAGAAAAACTCACATTAATGTGTGCCGGTTATTTTTTTATGGCGTGGCTAACAATGTAATATTTAAAATACTCTATTTCAATTTTTTAAATGCACATTTCTTAGCCATGCAACATTTATATAAAACTTTTGTTTACGAAGACAATTTATGCTGAATAGCAGATATTAGCAGCTAATTTGACATGGTTCTTAAAAAAGACATTATGAAGTTTCATTTAAGTTAAAAACAATCACTTAGTTCAGCTTCGATATCCTTGATTTAGTTATGTATAAAAATATATTTCAAAGGTACAATATATTTTGATATTTTGAAAATAGTTAGTATTATTTTTTTTTCATTTTATTTATCAAAAACTGATATTATGAGGAAAGTATACGTGCAGTATAGTCTAATTATAAAATGCACTATTTTATATTATTTGAAAACACTAAGCGAGTAATTTATTCATTGTCGATACAAAAATAGTTAAATGCTTTTTAGACTATTGTATATAAAATGTTATTACATAGGTGCTCTAAAGTGCATTTTTCCAAAATATATTTTTATAACAAACCTTTCATGTTTCTAAATATAGATTATAAAATATTTGATCATATATGATCAAAATAATTTTTTTCGATATATTGAGTTTTGGCCAAATTTTTATAAGGGAGGGAACTACTGTGCGACGTGAGGCAAGACAGTTGGAAATAAATCGAAATGCGTCAAAGTTGAGCGACAAAATGCGACCTTGACATTTTTCGAAGACAGTTTTTCTTATAGTGTAGAAGTAGCTGTTTAAGATTAATCAAATATCGGTTTATGCAGAAGATTCGCTATTATTTGATAAGGTTTATTTATTTCACGTCTCTAAATTATAGGTCTAGAAAACTTGGAGTGGCTCCACCTAGGCTCAAACCGGCTACGAACGATCAATGGCCCTCAAACCTTACCCAAAAGCCTCAAGGGCATCGAACTGCAAAAAAATCCCTGGACCTGCGACTGTCACATCCGAGAGTTTCACGACTGGCTGGTCAAGTTTCACATACCTCTATCGACAGACCCTGCCTGTACTGAACCGCCACGACTGCAAAATTTGTTGGTTAAAAACGTCGGTAAAGCGGACCTAGCATGCCTTCCTGATGTATCTCCAACCACTTTTTACTTGGAATTGGGAGAAGGAAAAAACGTCTCTTTGCTATGCCATATTCAAGCAGTACCTGAAGCTACGGTGAGTGTTATCGAAAATATTTTTTCTAATATCTTAAATATTTTACTGTAAGTTTTCCTGAACTAAACCTAACCTAACCAAATCTTCTTTATGGTATTTTTGAACCCTAGAAGCAAACTATGTTAAGAATCTATTACTTTAAATTCTATTCAGAGGTCGGCTAAAGCGGGTGTGTGGCCGCAGGAAGTATACAGGGTGGTCCGATCTGTAAAGTTGGTATAAATGTATGTCCTAAAATGCTTAGTTTCGGAGATACAGGGTGTAGAAGTTTCATTTTTATTTTAAATTTTTCCAAATAATTTATGAAGTAACGTCAATATTTGGAGGAAAATTGGTGTCTGGAAGTTTTTTGACATGAGAAATTTGATTTTAATGTCAATATGACTCCTACTTATAGAGGGCACCACCTACATATTTTTAACTGGTTTTTAGAATAATATTATAATATACTTTTCATCCGTACCTGTATAAAACTATTGAGTGAAAAAAATATACATTTACAACGTTTTTGAAAAAGTTTCTTGGTAAAAATCGCTACGGGTATGGGTTCTCGAGATATTTGGAATCGAAATTATCAATACCTGTCATCATTGACATAAATTAAACACACGTTACTACTACACGATTAAATAGTTATTAGACTGACATCATAAATTTGAAATTTTTTTGTGCCAAAAGTTCAACAGAAACTGTTTTATCATCATATTGTATAATTAATTAAAAAAAAAATAAAAAGTTCTTAAATTTATCATTTCACTCAAATAACTATCTACTCAACATGTTTATTTTAAATCAATAATGACATGTATTGATTATTTCCATTCTAAATATCTTGAGAACGGTTGCTCGTAGCAATATTTTACATTTTTTACGTAGAAAATGTATATTTTATCACTCAGTAGTTTTATACAGGTACGGAAGAAAAGTTATTACTCTTCAAAGTAGTTAAAACACATGTAGGTAACGCCCCCTACAAATAGGAGTCATATTGACATCAAAATCATATTTCTAATGTCAAAAAACTTCCAGACAATTTTCATTCAAATATTGAAGTTGCTTCAGAAATTATTTGGAAAAAATTGAAATGAAAATAAAACTTAGTCTTACAGTCTTACTGTCTTACTTATTTTTATGTGCAGAATATGCTGGGGAAATTTTCGGAATAGAAGGACCACCCTGTATATTATATTTCAGAAATCTGCCTAGACTTAAACACACGTGCTTGATTAAGGTTTGCAGAGCTTGAGCTTTTGCCATAAAATAGAGCAATTTGTTACCAAACTATACACTGCTGGCAAAGGAATATTAGCAATAGGAGGTTTTCAATGCAATAAAAAAAGATGGTAAGGCTGCAAAATACACTGCAGTGCAACAGAGACGGATAAAGTGTCTTTTCCCTACCATCGTATAGGGGAAGTGATCATAGAAGTGATACGACGAGAGAGCCCCTGCGAGAGGGGGCGCCGGGCGGGTCTTTAAGACGCTTGTGTGGGGGCTACCGCCTACTAATAGAACAGAATCGAAAAAATAGAAACAGGACGGACAGTGTTGCCATTCAATTAAATCGAAATTATGTTGGCTTGTCAAAATCCTAAATCTTCTAATCCCATTATCTTGCCTACTTAATGAAATATTAAATAAAGTACGAAACAATTTTAAGAATGTTTTCTCTAGGCACATAACTTCTTTCTAAAACGAAAAGTAACATGCAAAACTTTGAAATCATTTCTAAAATAGCAAGTGCAATTCTATGAAATGGCAATACTGTACGATCTTCCTAGCAGTCGCCCCGACACAGTCGGTCGGCGGCGGCGCTTGACAAAGCCGCGGCTGTGACAAAGGAATTAGGCCGAAAAAAACTTTATAAGGAGTAGCCGAACAGGGTTGCCGGGTTGGTTAGATTATAATTCCATACGAGAACAAAATTCTCGGTAGATCTTCAACAAAAATTAAAAGTACAGAAACGAAATAAAATATAATATTTAAGTCCAAAATTAGCATTCCTATGTGTCGTAATAATAGATCACTCAAATAAAATACAAATATAATAAATATAACAAGAATTAGAAATAGCTAGGTATATTATTTGATATTAAAAAAAATATTGAATTAAATAATATTAATATATTAATAAAAACATATAAAACTATAACAAGTAGGGATAGCAGTCACAAATTAGTGTAGCAGTCACTTTTTACCTTTGTACAAATTTTGATCAGTGATATCTAAAATTAATTTCATTTCAATGGGAAAGCTGTAGCAACTCTAACTCTTTTTCATATTAATATATTTTTTTTGACGGGAAAATCACTAAAATATTTGTCCGAATTTAGGTTGTTTCTTAACTTAAATTTTGTTTTTTGTTTACATTTTTTGGGGAAAATATGGGTTCAACTTTAGTAGATGAATGAAATAAAATCTTTTCAAAAGATATCAACTTCTTCGGGCATGTCGCCAATACCGCGCCTAATAAGGAGTAATAAGGAGTAATAAGGATTTTTAGGAATATCTCTGTAACTCTGCAACTAGACAGAACGATGACCTGTATGTGTGTTATTACTAAATAAAATTTAATGAAACAATAATAAAGTCAAATTATACAGATTCCAACACGGCAGTCGCTTAATTTTTAGTCAAATAAGTCAGCTTTTTATAAGTGCTTCTATTGTAAAAACTAAAGACGCAGTTGAATATATCGTTAGATTTTTCTTTAAATCGGTAGATCGGTAGCTTACAGACGAAACCGGTAGACCTGGCAACTCTGTGATGAACTGACGGGAGTCAGAATAGCGAGGTGCGGAGGCGCGGGAAGGGAAATAAAATAATGGCGATAAATAAAGGGCAGGGAGATGGGTATCATGAGTGGATGGGAGGTGGCGGAATTTCCAAAATTTGTTATCTTATTGGAGTTTGTCTAAGTAGACAGTCGTAGTGGAAGTGGAAACGGGGAAGTTGTTGTCCATCTCTGTTTAAGCATAGACTTTTTATAGGCGTTTCATTCCAATGCATGTAATTCCTATGCCTAGAGATCCATTGCCGGGCCTGTATAAGTTATATATCAATACAATCACAAAACTTCAATCTATTTCCGTATTGTAACGGAACTTTAAATTATGTCTTTATTTTCGAGAAAATTTAGTCCAAACATAAGGAATATTTTGTCTATGTTTGACCTTGACCTATTGACCAAAATCTTAAAAATAAAGAAGTTGTCTAAAAATGTGCTGCAATATATAGTATAATCCTTTATCTTTAATTTCCTTCTTCATTTGTGTAAAAATACCTAGCCAGTTTTATATAAAACGTTAAATGCGGAACGCTTATTTTACTACTTTGTCGGACTAGTGAAATGGACTCTTAAGGAGAAAATGAATTTGTCTCTTCTGGTGTGACCGAAGAGTATGATAAGGGAGAGACAAATTGTAGAAAAAAATACTAGACATTAGAATAAACAATAACACTATAAAAATATTCCTCCTGTAATCCGGATACTTACATTAATTCGGCTGGGGCTGTTCCGATCTCTGTGTCCGAACTATCGAAATTATACTGTATACATGGTGTTTCAAAACAAATGCGAAAAACTTCAGGGGGTGATTCCTTGTTCAAAATAGAGGGTAGTTTGCTTCATAAACGTTGGGTCAAAAGTCAACCATTAGGGAGATATCGCGGTACAAAGATGGCGGAAAAATAATGTTTTTATTTTTCATCTTGAGAACGAAAAGAGATAGACTAATAAAATTTTATGGAAGCATTACTGTTATGAAAACACACTTTCTGGTAATTTTTTCACTTTTTTAAAATGAGTGGAAGGGGCTGAAATAAACTACCCCTATCATTCTTGTTAACGAAATTTAAAGAAAAATCTTATCAAACACATGCAAAAAAATTAATTTGGATAGTTTAGTTTGTTTAGAAACTTTTTTATCTCTTCTATTTTTTGATAAAACTCACCGATTTGAAATTAAAAAATAAAATGTAAAGCATTACATGTCAGGACAAATAACATTTTCTTATAAAGAATCTAGTGGGCTGCTGTAATTTTTTAGGAAAAAATCTAGTCGGCCGCTGTTACTTTTTAAGATGTTCCTAATATTATTTTATTTGACATTACTCTACTGCAATACGTTATTATCTAGATGATTATTATTATCGTTATTATCACTAGATTCTTAATCTAAAAATGTTTTTGTGTCCTGACATGTAATGCTTTACATTTTATTTTTAATTTCAAATCGGTGAGTTTTATCAAAAAACACAAGAGATAAAAAAGTTAGTGGGCAAACTGTAATTATTTTAGGAAAAAATCTAGTCGGCCGCTGTTACTTTTAGGATGTTCCTAATATTATTTTATTTGACATTACTCTACTGCAATACGTTATTATCTAGATGATTATTATTATCGTTATCACTAGATTCTTAATCTAAAAATGTTTTTTGTCCTGACATGTAATGCTTTACATCTTATTTTTAATTTCAAATCGGTGATAGGGGTAGTTTATTTCAACCCCTTCCACTCATTTTAAAAAAGTGAAAAAATTACCATAAAGTGTGTTTTCATAACAGTAATGCTTCCATAAAAATTTCATTTGTCTATCTCTTTTTGTTTTCAAGATAAAAAATAAAAACATTATTTTTCCGCCATCTTTGTACCGCGATATCTCCCTAATGGTTGACTTTTGACCCAACGTTTATAAAGCAAACTACCCTTTATTTTGAACAAGGAATCACCCCCTAAAGTTTTTCGCATTTGTTTTGAAACACACTGTATAAGTCAAGTTACTTATGTTCTAACCATTGCTCTTTCTAGTTTTACGCTACCCTGTATAAATAAATAAAATAGTCGGTTTAAAATCAAATTAAGTCCGATGTCAACCCTGATCCAAAAGAAAAGTATACTTAGAAAATATGAAAAAAGGCAAAATATAACGACACAAATTATGTTTTATCTCGGGAACAACCTGTCCCCAAGCTGATTTCAATAAAAATACATTTTGTTATGTATGTTCTTATTCAGAAAAATCCCATCAAATTGGGACATTTACAGAAATATAATATATAAATAAGGAAAAACGACAGAAGGTATAACCTGATTTTTTTATGGATCTCAAGACAGTGTTTGCCAAAAATAAAATCTAAGAAAGGAGGCAACTTTTTAGAATTTCCCATTCTTTGCGCGTTCTTCTCATTTTAATTGGGGACACTAGATTTTATGTGGGTGTTGTAAAAGCTGAAAACATTAGATTTTGTTTGCCTTATACACACTTTAGCAGACATCGTGAATTCAAATATTGTAATTCAGCTCATAATTCAGTTAATGCGGCATAAAGGTTCGTTCAGACCGGCTGCGCCGCGCCGCTCCGCACCGCGCAAATAATTCTTAAATATACTTTTGTGCACGCTAAAAAAATACACTTTAAAAAACATGTTAAAAAATGTTTTGCGCTGCCGGTGTGAACGCACCTTAACAAAAAATAATGTTTTGGAGTGAAACTTCTTTACGCGCGATGGGATTAAAAATTCAAGACAAAAAATTCACGGCCATAATTGACACGACATGACCTTCACCGTGCCTTGACGCACGAGCTAGCGAGAAAAATGTGGTATGGATCGTACAAACATCAAAAAACATTTGATTTAAAGCCAAAAACAGCATTATAATAAATTTGATACTGCACCTGGGTACCAATATCCTCTGGTTGTGTGCTAGTAAGTAAATCTTCATGCAAATTTTCGTAGATAGGTTTGTAGCTTCTGAATAACGGCCTAGGTAAAGCATTTAGCTCATTCGCTAGCTCAGAATTAGAATTATTAGAGTTAAGCAACTCGCATTTTCATTGGAGGACATCGTCATATTTATTTCAAACCAATAATCAACCAGACCAGCCGTAGCTCCAGCGTTAGTGTATCGATCTGCGGAGCGGAAGGTACTTGGTTCGATCCCGAGCCAGTACGGTCGCTTTATTTATTTAAATAAAAATATTGATTTATCTAAATAGGGCGACCAGCGAGCCGCCGCGCCACCTCAAGGAAGGCAATGGCAAACCACCTTGAGTATATTTGCTTTGTACAGCCTCTCAAATAGTGCCGTTTGATCGAAAAAAAAACGGCGTCAGCGATGGCTATGAAATGAAGATCGCTGTCATTTTATATATAAATTTATATGGGAAATGTCACTGATCGTCATTTCCTAGCCAACTGGACGCCATTTTTTTTCGATCATACGGTACATGCGAGAGGTAACCGACGCTCTATAATAGAGTATGGCACTGTAAGAAGTAAGAATCAACCAGAATATTAGTATAATTTAAAATTACTGTAAATCACTATTATTACAAATTGTTGGTTAGGTTCAAAAATTTTCCTCTTCTTGAATAAATTAAAGCGTTTACATTATTAGTCATTTGCATAAAAGTATGTATTTTGGGTGGTATTCCACAAAATTTGCAGGCTATTGAGGAAACAGGAAATGTACAGATTACAGAAATAAATTGAAAATAATATTTATATTAAAACAGCATTATATGTCACTTTTTCAAATATGTTTTTCAAATCTTCCAATTAATAGCTGTTAGTAAGAAATTTCCTTTCTTTTAGATATATTTTTTTCTGAAACAATATCTCTTTTTTACAGGTATCTTGGTGGTTTGATGGTCAACTGTTACAGAATAACACCAGCGTGGCACCAGGCGTGCATCTGATGTATTTTGTTGAAGAAGGAACCGAAAACAAACGAAGCGAATTATTTATTTACAACGCCAATGCCGACGATAATGGCACCTACGTATGCCATGCCGAAAATGCAGCTGGAAGCACGCAGTCAAATTTCACCATAAGAATCATACTGAAAGAAGATCCCATGGTAATAATAGTGTCGTTTTCCCTCGAGTACTTATTGTTTGCAGTGGTCAGTGTATCAGTGTTTGCGCTTGTATTAATTGTGATAATTGTGTTGTGCGTCGTTAAGTGTAAGAGAAGAAGGAAACGTCAGATCAAGAGGGACCAAACGAAAGAAGTCGCACTGCATTTACACAATGACCAAAACGTTGGACACGGCGAAAAAACTTGGGGTGAGTTAGATTTTATGTTTTTAAAGTCATTATAGTACTATTCTTTTAAAAGTTCCTCAATATGGCCGACCTAGTTACGAAAATTGGTATTTTTTTTTTAATGAAAAATAAGTTGGCGTTAGCGAATTTAGAAATTGATTTACTCTTTGGTTAACAATAATATTTTTCAGGATTGTCAAGTTGACGTTAAAGTTAGGTTATTAGGTGGTTGTCATAAATAAAAACATATATTATTGAAATTATTTAATAAGAATAAAGGTATTTTACCGCAGATCCGAAGAGATTTTACTTAAAGGTATTTTAAAAACTTTCTCAGTGAGAATATTAACTCCCCTGTTTCTTATATTTCAGTTAAAGACTGTAGAATTATAGTTCTACAGTCTACTATTCTACTTACGTTAAAGACGTAAGAACTATAGGAAGTAAATTTTTGTTTTCATGTTTTGACGATATCTGAGAGTTTCTAGAATTATCAAGATTATTGAATAATTATAGTTGTTTAATAAGTGAAATTAATAGAAGACTTGGAAATACGATGATGCTTTTCATGTTATAGTTGATAGATCATCCCATTCCTCTTAATTTGTTTTTATTTCAGTACAGTTAATCACAAATTGAATTGATGTGTGCAAAAACAGCTATATATTTTCAAACATCTTATTTAAATAGTTCTTTTATATACTGTTAAACTGTATCAACTACAAAGTATTTAGCAAAAAATTATAAGGTAATAAATTTTGTAGATATAATTTATGAAAATTTATAATATATAAAGAGTAGAACACAATCCTCTGAAGGAAAAAGAAATACTCAAAAACTCATTAAATATACTTTATTAAAAATAACAACATACAAAAACATCCATGCAAACTGTAATAATCAGAACATTATCCACATTATAACTACTAACTCAACTTTTAAATCTGTTTTAAACCTTCTTTATATTTTAAAACTGATTTACAACAATCTGTAATGCCCGCGCTCTTTCCTGAAATATAAGTTTTAATCTATTTATTATCATATAGTACATATTACAAACCTGAAAATTACTGATACGAGGAAACTTCTCAAAATAATTAGAGACCTTTTTACAAACATCTGGACTAATTTATTTTCACGAATTTGTGAACGAGTCAATGTTTTCTAATACGTTTTTAAGCGTTTTACACATTTTGAATATCTTCCAGCCTATTCGTCAATTCTTGATCGGTGAAAAGATTATTTATAACTGTATAATTAGTACTGCAGGTTGCAGGTTAAATAAAAGAACAAAATCAAGTAGAATTTGTGAATAAAAACTCAAAAAATAATGAAAATATTTAGAAAAAGGAACCGTAAACGTCAATGTCAGCCAAATGTCAGAGTTCAATTGGATTTACCACAGATTATCAATTTGAACGATTTGAAGTACAGTCGATTCCAGTTTAGAGATTTTCGTTTTTTAAGCCTCCCATACTGAAGTCCGCCATATTGGGAAGTTTTAAATGAATACAAGTTTATTATCAATTTCATCTTATTCAACCATTTCCAATTATGGTGTAGCCTCCCTCACATATTTAGATAGTGTCTTTGTAGTTGGTGCTATTGTTGTCTATTGTTGGCTATGCGAATCCAATTTCCTAATATCATGGTCCCATCTCATGTTTGGTCTTCCCCTAGGTCGCTTAATTACTCGTAACTGTAATTTTTTGCTCCATCTGTTGTCCGTTCTTCTTGCCATGTGTCCTGCCCATTGCCACTTGAGGGATTTAATTCTGTTGATGACATATATATTACCTGGGTCTTTTGTCGTATCCACTCTATTCTTTTACGGTCTCTCTTGGTTGCAGTTTCCTTATAATGTCCGTTTTGAGTGTCGCATGCATAGGTCATGACTGGTAGTACACATTGGTCAAATGTTTAATTCTTTAGATAAAGTGGCATTCTAGATTTGAATATGATTGAGTTTCTTCAATAAGTACTCCATGCTGACTTAATTCTTTTTGATTTTTGGTAGTAGAGATCCCGAGCTGTGTGTTACTTGTCCCAAATTCTTTTACTATTTCCAGTGTTGTGTTATTTATTAGAATGTCTTTTGTATCTACTAGTACATTGTACAGGGTGGTCGAAATTGGTCTGTTTTAACAGAGAAAACCTATTTCCTGACTAGATAGAGCAAAACCAACATAGATGTAATGGGCTCGATTTCAGAGGCATGTTTAATGGCGTAAACCGCCTATTGATATTTTCATTGCCAAATGAGATATGGGGACTTTTTGAATTTTTTACCATTTGGAAAATTGCTCATAACTTTTGTATTTCGCGGAATAATTAAATTCTGTAAAAACGTTCTTAAGGCACTTTTTTAAGCACAATTCAGTGGCGTAGTCAGTTTTTTTCTATACTTGCTTTTTTTGTCAGAAATGATAAAAAAATTTTAAATGGAAATCATAGTTGGCTATGAACTTAAAAAAATGCTGGCGTTTAACCCTTTCCAACGATATAAAGTTATGTGTATTTATTTCTAAGAATGAGAGAAATATTAGGTTTTTTATCTTTGTATCGAAGCGGTCTTGATTTTGTGTTGACCTAGTTGCCTAATTATTTTTTGTCACAATTTAATTGTGTTATTACACCAGTTCGTCTAATAAATCGCTGTAACTCTGTGCGCAAAAGATGTTTATTGTGTATTCAGCAAGGAGGTGCTGTTTGAACATCTTTGATGGTTTTATTTAGAAAACTATATTCGTCACTGAAAAAATACGCTTTTTTAGTTTTGTTCATTGTTTATTGTATCGATTTCAATTGTAATTACTAATTCTAATATAGAATGTTAAATTATCCTTTTCAAAAGTCTTTAATTATGCATATAAATAATATAGAATACAAATTGTGATAAAAATAACTAGGCAAATAGGTCAACACAAAGTCAAGGCCCGCTTTGATATAAAGGTAAAAAACTTAATATTTCTCTCATTCTTAGAAATAGATACTCATAACTTTATATCGTTGGAAAGGGTTAAACGCCACCATTTTTTTAAGTTCATAGCCAACTATGATTTCCATTTAAAAATTATATTTTTTATTATTTCTGACAAAAAGAGCAAACATTGAAAAAAACTAACTACGCCACTGGATTGTGCTTAAAAAAGTGCCTTAAGAACGTTTTTACAGAATTTTATTATTCCGCGAAATAAAAAAGTTATGGACAATTTTCAAAATGGTAAAAACATCAAAAAGACCCCGTATCTCAGTTGGCAGTGAAAATATCAACAGGCGGTTTACGCCATTAAACATGTCTCAGAAATTGAGCCCATGACATCTATGTCGGTTTTGCTCTATCTAGTCAGGAAATAGGGTTTCTCTGTTAAAACAGACCAATTTCGACCACCCTGTACAGTACTTTAGTTTTTGCTAAATTCATTTTGAGACCTTGCTGGCTCTTCTTGTTTTTTTGTCACTTTTTTAAAGTATTATTAATTTAACCTCTATGAAAAAGATACCATTAATATACAGGGTGGTCCGAATTGTATTCTGGACACTTCGGCAGCATATTCTGTTGATGAAAATAAGTAAAAAGGTTTATTTCGAAGATACGTGTAATAAATATATTAATAAAAAAAATATAAAAATAATTATAAAAATAAGGTTCCATTTTTGGCATGGTTTTACTACAAAAATCTATTTTTTTTTCATTAATTATTTACAAAAATATCACAAAAAACAATTCGATTTAATTAATTTCGATGTGTTCGTTTTCATTTAAAGATGGCATTCTGCGGAAACTCTGATACTATACATACATTATGTGTATTATGATTATTTGCCAACTTTTGATTTTGAAATGTTAAACGAAAATTTTGTGATTTCCAGACTTTCTCATTTTATACATCTATAAATGCTAACTTGAAAACTAATGTCAAATAGGATTAAGTATCGCAGTTTTTGCAGAATGGCATCGTTAAATGAAACCGAACACATCGAAATTAATTAAATCGAATTGTTTTTAGTGATATTTTCAAAAGTCAATTACTTGGAAACGGTTGGTTTGAGGTACATTGTGTGTATCTCGAGTTTTGCTTCGAATCGAAGGAAGAATTTAATAAAAACATTTAATAAAAAGAAACTTTGATGTACCACGACTTTATAACCGACCCTGTATCCTTAAATTTGTTACCCACAAATAGATATTTAAAACCCCTATAACATTTATATTTAAGTTTTTGCAGCACCTCTTATACCGGATGCGTCTCAAAAGTGGCTCACCCCTATAACATTTTTATTTCTTCATATAAAAAACGAGATTTGGTATGTTAGTATATGACATAAATTGGGATTGATTGACGTATTCAATTGTTTTTAGTCACTTCCTGTTTCACCGGAAATGACTGCAACTTTTGATTTTTAAATGACATCCTCGGTATATTTTTACTTTGTTCGATAGAAAATGACATTCTTAATCGAATGACATATCATATGGTAACTTTTGACATATTTGCTCAAAAACAAGTAGTATTTTAAATTTCAATCTAGAGTGCCATGGCTCTGTTAAAAACACTAATCTTTAATCAAGGAGACTTGGAAAAATAGATTTGATCGTCTAATGTTTCTACTGTCTTTTTCTGGCCGGTTAAAAGATTCCCAAATCGCATTTTTAATCATATCTCACTTTTTTCAAATAAAACGAGGGTGGCTCATTAGCATATTTGGAAAAAGCATTTTTTTACGAATAATTTGATATCAAACACTTGGTATTTCGAGTCAAATTCGCGTTATGCACCGTATGTTATAATTTCAAATAAACCATATGCGAAAATGTCAAAAGTTGACATATGATATGTCGTTCTATTCAGAGTGTCATTTTCTACCGAATGAAGTAAAAAAATACCGAGGGTGAAACCGGAAGCTACCGAAAACAATTGAATATGTCAATCAATCAATCCTAATTTATGTCATATACTAACATATCAAATTTCTGTTTTATCTGAAAAAAATAAAAAAGTTAGAGGGGTGAGCCACTT